GATCTACATGGGCATGCACTTAAAACAGAACAGTATGAAAAAAAAGAAAGAAATGTAGTTTTAGGTGATAAAGGACAGTATTTTAAGGACAAATTTTAAAAAGATCATTCTTGAAAAACAAATTGAAAAAATGATCTTAATCTCTCACGCAAGTTTTTGGTACAGAAATATATATATATATACATCAATGATAATGAAATCTTGAGAAAAAAAATCCAGTCCCATTATTTCAAAAAACTTTTCTGGAGTCCATTCCAGTGGTATTTCATTTGATTTTGCAAACTGTATTAAATTTTATTAATATCAGTCCATTTAAATTTGGAATAAAAAATGAAAGAAAAAAGAGAGATATACAATGTACATTAATTTTGTTAATTGTTTGCTTGGATAAGATTAAAATGATATCGAAATTACAATAAGTTTGACACATGTACGCAGTGGAAGATTTTAACATTAATAACAAGGAACAAGAAATTAAAGTTAATTGAATTGTGGTTACATATTAATTACAATTGTAAGCGTTATAGCAGGATGTTGAACATAACAACTTTGACATGTGGCAATATTTGATGTTAATATGACATGACATACACTCTTGTAACAATTTGCAATCTAAACAAGTGGAGAAAGACACATTTCAGATACATTTCAAGTCACAAGTAGATCTTTAATATTAAAAAAAAAAATTGCAAGTAGATCTTATACAAATACAAGCACTTTGTAATTGTTACGTCATTTGATTTTAGTTAAAAAGACTATTGCATTATACTGGTCACTGGTGAGTCCGTGACACTTCTACTATTACATAAATTATAAGGATCAATTTAATATGATATTTACAAACTTACTGTCGAACCATTTGTTTTTAACAATAGATTTGTAAAAATCTAAGATATTTCTACCTGCTTTTACCACAAATTTGCTATTTGATTATTATTAATTTCTAACTTTAACATCAAAAAATGAAGCAAACTACCCCCAAACCTCCCCCAGTTAAAACACCCATCCCAATCATTACCCCCCCCCCACCTTACAGAAAATAAAAAAGTCAGTGATTTTCCTCCTTATATAACAGAGGCCTATGAATGCCCCTTCCCATTTGAAATTTTCTTTAAATGCATGCAGTTTTCTCAAAAGTCTGAACTTCCATCAGCTTTTTCTTTCCTGTAATTAGCAATTTAAGTGATAATTTTTCCAAAATTAAAGAGGCTAAGGCCTCTTCGCAATTGAGTGAGAAAAACCATGGAAGAAAATTTTTTTCTATTGTGCATTTTTATATTGTGTTCTTTTCTGTTGTTTAATTTTTTTTTTAAAGTTTTTTGTGAGATTTAGTTGTAAAAGAGAAGTAAAATCTGCCATGTCTTTGTATCTGGAAAGTGTTGTAATGTGTGTTCTGATTTGTCAGTGAATGAAGTGTCTCTCTGCTTCTATAGCTACATCATGGAATGGATGAGTCATGCAACAGTCTGATAGCTCTGTATCTGTCTACAGATGTTTTGTTGTTGTGTCTATAGACTGAGAATCAGTTGGTCAGTTGGCAAGGCTTTCTTTGATATATTGATCTTCCGAATTATTATGGAATCTTGTAGCTGAATGTCATATTATGATTTGCTAAACCGTGTAGAAAACATCTATGTTGCATGTGGTTACTCGTTATATTTTTCCCTCTGTTACAAACAGTCATTAAAGAAGACAATATAGCTTTACTGAATCACTTTGAATTTCTCCGAATCATTCAATTTTCCTTGTGTATTTAATTGTATGATATTATGATATTATATATTAGTTTTCAACCAGGATTTAAAGTAGGAATCCGGTAGCTTTTTTAAAGTGTATTAAATTTTTACACTTGAAAACCATTTTAAAGATGAAGTGTTTGCTTAAGTTGAATTGTATTGACTTGAATTAAGTGCAAGTTCAACAAGAAAATTTATTAAATTAAGTACTTCACGACTTTAGGAGCCTGAATTTACGTACAAGATTGCGTTTGAAATCGTAAGTTTCGTCGAGGATGTTTTCATTGTAATATTTGTTTGGTTTTAGTGGGAGGGTTTCGTTAGATATTCAAAGTACTATCGTAATTATGAACTTCCCCAATTTTATTGAAGTATTTAAGTTTTTTTCTGAGAATGGAAAAGAATATAATTATGTTGAAATGATAAAATTTGATCTGACAGATATGATTTTAAAAACATCAACAAAAAAATCCATGTACTAAGTACAAAGGTTTTTTGGCTGTGTCGTAAACAATTTTGGTACAAAGTTTTTTGACACTGTCATAAAAAAACAATTTACATACAATAGTTTTTATAGATCATTTGAAGGATGTGAAGATGGCCCAATTTGTGATTTTACGATTTTTATTACTTTTCAACTGTGTCAGGTCAGTTGAATAGAATAGCAAAGTTTCGTATTACAAAGTAGAAATTCGAGTACATATGTTACAGGCCATTGTATTAAAGAGAGGAAGTTAAAGTTTTATATTAAACAGAAACCGAGGAAGCAGATTTAAACGTGCTTGTTTGAGTCATTTCCTGAATTACAGTACACAGTGGTTTTACAGACGGCATATTTAATAACAGATTTTGTGGTCGCTGTTGAGTTTTCTTTGTTTTTGATTTTGCAGAAATTGCATGTTAGTTTTCAGCTGCATTATTTCAAGCAGGGGACTGAGTAAATTGTACAAGGCTTCCCTAAATATTTTTTAAGATTTCACAAAGAAAGTTGAGAGATTTGTTTCATTGTAGTGAAGAATTATTTGGTTTTTAAAGTGCTTTTTACTCGACAGCATCCATGCTTCTGTCTGGGAAATGAGACAAGAGAATCTGACTAAAAGTATGACACGAGGTTTAAACTTTGTCGCCAAATTTCTTTATTTGATTGGTTAAGACTGAATAAGCCAATCAGATTGTTTGTTCTTCAGTGTCTGGTCTCAACTGACTGTAACTTGACATAAAATTTTTTTTTCCTGATACTAATTTCATTTAACATGCTGAGTTAAAACTAGCCCTGTATTTCTATTTGTGTCAGAAATTCATGACAAATTCCCAATGTACTGAGAGTTAGGACGTTCCTTACAGCCCTAGTATTTCAGTAAATTTAAGCATTCTTCGAAAAAGAACAGAGGCTGAGTGAATACCTTGCCATTTGTATCACAATTTGAGCCATGTCATGACAAAACCAACATAATGGGTTTGCGACCAGCATGGATCCAGACCAGCCTGCGCATCCGCGCAGTCTGATCAGGATCCATGCTGTTCGCTATTAGTTTCTTTGCTTGTTATAGGTTACTTGTTATAGGGTCTGTAAGCGAACAGCATGGATCCTGATCAGACTGCGCGGATGCGCAGGCTGGTCTGGATCCATGCTGGTCGCAAACCCATTATGTTGGTTTTGTCGTGACACGGCTCAATTTTAATGTATGGAAGTAATAACTGTGAGCACACAGAAAGTTTGGAAATAGTAAGATGCCACTCTTGATGAAACCATACATTGGGATGCCCGTTCACTGTGGAAATAATGTAGAAGAGCACCTTGCATCTGCTTCCAGTAAAAGTTTATGTTTGTTTAATGAGAAGTTGGTAGAATTGTGACACAACAAAATTTGGAAGGAATTAAAAAATAAATCTTATATTTCAAAAATTCTAAAATTATCTATTTGGTGTTCCTTTGAAAGTTCTTTTGGTACATGATGAAAGTTCCTGGACGGTTTCAGACCTCTGATTTTCAAACACCAAAAGCCTAAGCAAATTAAAACAAAGTTACTACATACAAGACTATCAGTACTATTTTATCCCTGGATCATAGATTGGAAGAGCATTTTTGTTCTTTGACCGACAAACTGTCACAAAACTTTAACCTTGACCATAACACAAATCCTTCCACCTAAAGTCTTCACTGGAGTATTCACCTTGATGACCTTTACCCTTCTAGAGGTCACATGGTCAACGGTCAAGGTCAGTCTCCCAGGGATATGGCATTTATTTTAGCATAGCACTTGGTAAATTATAACTGGATCTCAAAGTTGCAAATTCATAGTCACACCTTGCCAAATTTATTATTTTAATGAGGAAGCTCTGAAACAAGGAAGTTTTGCATTTAAATCTTTATATATAAGTTTTATCTATAAATGATATTGATTTATAGGTATACAACTGAAGTTTTGAAGTATGTGATAAAAGGTTATATAATTTATAATGGCTAGTTATTTAAATGAGCTTTTAGAAATATTTCATTTGTATTTCAACATGATTTTTTTGGCTGTAAAAAATTCAAGGTGTCGAATTTTGACTCACTAGGAAGTAGCAAATGTAGTATGTACCATTAAATCCAACACAATCACTTTTCACCCACCAATGCATGTAGGATATTTGAATAAAAATATTGCACATTTGACTCTAATTTTTATGAATAAATGGTGTCAAGTGATGGTTATGGTGTCTTGAAATATTATCTTTTTCTAAAACCCTTTATCCTGCTGAATTTTTATAATGGTTTGTCCAGCTTTGAACTTAGTACAGTCCATTCAAAGTTTAACGGATTTCAATATCAGCAGTATGGAATCTGGTAAGACTGCATAGATTTGCAGGTGACAAAGGCTAGTCATATTTTTTGAAGCCAGTCAAGGGTTGAGTTTATGATATAAATTTTGTTTACAGTTGTTACAGATTCGAATCACTTTTTTGTTGTACACCAAGATTTTTCCGCCTTCATTGTTCCTGCCTTTTCCTGGACTGGTCTGTGTTTTTTTTAACATGAGTGGGACAGACAGGGCTATAGTAGTGTGAAAATATAATGGTATTGCAATGAACTGTTTTATGTAATTCTAGATTCCCCTTTCCCACTCTAGAAATAATTTTCCCCCCTCTCCATGGGCCCTGCTTTCATTCCTTAACAGTGAAAAAAAGCACCACTTGAGTTGCTGGAGAAAAAAAGAGTGCTTGTATATAACTGTGTTATTTTATAAGATGGTCAATATTTGATGTTGTTTTTGTTTTCAGGACCAGTATGACAGTGTCGGAAAGCATACAGAGAAAGGCATAGAGTTCCTAGAGAAATTTGGCAATTTTCTGAAAAAACGCTGTGATATAGAAACAAGTTATGCCAGTGAACTCAAGTAAGTGCCGTTAACTCTTCAAATGGTAAAGGTAGTAATGTTTTGACTATGTTAACAGTATATAGCCAGGCCAGGCTGCACGTTTATGCATTCTGACCTGGCTTTATACTGTTGGCTGCATTATTTAATAATCAAAATCCCTTGTATTGACAATGGACTGAACTAAAGGTAAAAACCGGACAAGTCCATTACACAAATTCAGAGGGATGAGGGTCAAGATACGATGACCACTGATATTGAAATTGAAGTTGAAATTGGAAAACATTATTAAAATGATGAATTTTTTTTAGCGCAAATGCTTTCAATAAGTGTGAAATGCTATAATTCCTGGTTTTAACTCTCAACATGCTGAGTATTTTAAATGGACATGTCCCACTTCCATTTTTGGAACTCTCCATTATCTATTTTAGGGATGTCAATTTGAATATTTAAAGTTTGTCAGCCAACAGAATAGAGCCTGGTCAGACTGCACGGATGTGCAGGCTGACCTGGCTCTATACTGGTGGCAAAGGCTTGACGCATTCGGTTCCAGCACTTTCAGGGTTAAGCCTGTAGGAATTATTTTACTTCTTATTGAAAACTTTGTGGACCATAGATTTGTAAATGACTAAGTGTAAGACAAGGATCATTCATATATCTTTTTGTCATATACACATTTATTTGAATATGCTAATTATTTATAAAGAGAAATTAGGGGCATCTGTGGTCAAGTGGTTTAGGTCGTTTACTTCAAACCACTTGTCTCTCACTGCTGTGGGTTCTTTCATATTATGAAGGTAGTCTGCCAGCTTTAAGACCAATGGTGGTTCTACTAAGGAGCCCATTTGTGCCTGAAATAATGCATGGAAAAGCATGGAGGTCTTCCTCCACCAGTAAAACTGGAAAGTCACTATATGATCTATAACTGTGTTGGTGCAACATAATTTTTTTTTAGAAAAATTGGCAGATTAATATGTTTGCCTGTCTGGTATTCTGTATAAGATAATGCTATTAAACTTGTATCTTGTTACAATATAAAGTAAAGTCATAAATAGAGAAGAACATTTCAAGAGTAGAAGTTGCCTAGTTATTTAGATGGTTGCCACTTAATACAGGTATCTTTGGTTCAAGCCCTACTAGGGTCATGCTTCTACTACCTTATGTGACACCAGTAGTGGTTAACTCGAAAGTGTTTCAAATAAGGTTTCAACATAATCAAATATAAAAATTACTTTTCAATAAAATATTTTGCAAATGTAGGTATTATTTATAAATGATTATTGATATGAATTTCAATTATTATTCAACTTTTACTTTCTGTTATAATTTAAGGCGCTTGGTGAAAAATTTTCAACCAAAGAGGAAAGAGGAAGATGAGTATCAGTAAGTCATTAAGTTATACAATAATGTTTAGGCCAAGGAAAAAAAAAACTTGCTTTCCTATGTTCCAGCCAACAGCCAACCTCCTTCACTTGGTTATGCATTTAAATTACTGCAAAGTTATTTACATGTAATACATACATACATACATAAAATAATTTCTTTTAGGGAAAAAGTTTGGTTTATAGAATGTAAAAACATTTTTGTAAGGGTACTAAAAACAATGCATACAATATCTTTGGCCTAGTGCAATTAGTAAATAACTTCCCACTTCCATGTTAACAATAGTAAAATAATGTATATTTTATGTAATAATTGTTTTTGTTTGGGTTGTTTCATATCCATTGTGTATGACTGTGAGAATATTGTTTAATGTGAAAATCTGAGAGAATCTTACTGTCCAAGTTAATAATGACATTAATTTTATAACATTTATTTTATATACTATATACATTACTATCAGAAGGGGCAAATTCTAGTTGTAATGTAAAAAAATTGTAAAATTACGTAGTCCAGTAAATTGTTGTTTGATAAAAAGGTCCAATGTTCTCAAAAAGACATTGGTTGCTCTAGTAAAACATTTACTGTTCTATAATATATATCGCTCTTGCATTTTCCATTATACGAAAGATGTGCATTGTTCACTGAAGGCATCAGTTATTCTACAAAGATTTGAGATGTCATGGCTATTTCTACAGGTTTTTAGATTGATGATGCTATCGTTACTATATATGTACATGTATATCAAAATTCATGACCCATAACTTAAAAGCATGGATTTCCAAAGAATTTTTCTCCCTATGTGAACTTTTAAGCACATTGTTTTTTGGTTGTCAGAAATCTTTCCATCTACTCAAAGAGAGTCTGTGGTTCTACTTGGGTACCTGATTGTGCCTGAAATACTGTTATACACATAGAGGAACACCTGTGGTCTGTCCCCACCAGGAAAGCTGTCATGTGTCAACATATGACCTTGACTGTGTTAATGTGACTTCAAACTTAACCAAAGAAATAAATATTTTTGTCAGACAGCTCTTGTGATTTTGCAGGATTTAACTATCTAAAATTATTTATATCTATTTATCTATCTTCCGTTAATGTCAAACCCTCCACAGGGATGGACACATGTCAATTATACTAACAATGCTTTGTTCAAAAATCAAAAAGAGACTTAACCATTATTCAAATTTTAGTGTAAGAAAAGTATCTTGATTTTTTTATTTTCCAGATTTACGTGGGCACGAGCGTTCCTTGATATGCTCAAGGAAGTGCACGACATGGCGGGACAGCATGAAGTAATAGCAGAAAATACACAGGGGCAGCTTATCGGAGAATTACAGAAATGTGTGGGCGAGCTAAAAACAGATAGAAGAAAAGTATGATTTTTTTATTCTGATAAATATTTATGATATATATACGCAGTCTTTATGTTTGTGTTGTCTCCTTTGATACATTGGTCAGTGATAGCTAATCTGATCTTAGTGTTTTGAACTGTTTTACTATATCCCATTAGGGAAAGATATTAAGATCAGTTACAAGATTTTGTACCACCCTATGTTATAGTAAAACAATTAGCCGAGCTTCTGCTAAAATGGTTATGGACTTGAGATTTTGACATATACATTGTTTGACATAATTATCTAGTTCAAAGAATTCTTTATATTGTTTTAAGTTGCTAAAAGGTTACTGTATTTATTTAAAAGCTTTTGGTGTCATGTTTAATAACCTTTGACTTTTGTATACATGGATTTTCTGTATTGCAGAAACATGTTGATTATATTGCAGTGTGTATTGTAATTTATACAATGATGACTGCATTATGAAAACTTGAGCCAAAATGTTAAATTTGAAGAGTTCAATACAAGACATATTCAGTTTCCGTATTCATTGTATTTTTAGCTTGTATTTTTCGAAGAATGATCGTTATGATCGTTGAGTTGTCGTGCAAAAAAAATAATGTTGCCCATTATGTAAACCTTTTATATGTTATTAATATGAAACTTGGAAAACATGCTATTTTTGACAATGTGCAGTTGTTAGCAGTGCATGCAGTTCTCTAGTTCTTACTATAATGTCACCCATTTCTTTTGTTTGATTTGTAAAGCACTTTTAAGAGAATTGTTGTTTTGTATAGCTAACCTGTTGTAAAAGGTTGTTTGAATTTCATGTATACATTATGCAGTCATTTACATAATTCATATATTAACATTTTGTATTTGGCATTACATTTTACTTACAAGTCTGCTTAAAGCTTTTAGGTCAGCTTTTGAAGAATAAAGTTTTTAACAAATGAAAATATATGATTATTTTTCAGTTTCTTCAAGAAGGGTCGCGGGTACAGAACCAAATGAAAGATTCATTAAAATTATTAGAAAATGTAAGCATATGTTATTTGCACCATATTATATTATTATGTAAGATTTTGTTGTGGAATGAAGACTGAAGAATAAAAATTACTGAGTGAAAAGTTTTTTTGTATGGAAATCATTTCTTTGGAATTACAGTTTAAAATGTTAAAAGATTTAATTTGATTTCATATTGAAAATTTCATACTGTTTCAGAAAATAAAGGAAAAAAACAACACATAACAGTTTTTCACAAAAAAAAAACCTTACCTTTTTAAGAAAAAATGATCATGAGTCAGTTTTGACAGTAAAACTCTCATTTTAAACATATTGTGTATGTATTATGTATTATTGTGTTATATTTTGCAGTCAAAGAAAAATTATGAAAGAAAATATAATGAAGCTGACAAAGCCTTAGATGCATATAGAAAAGCAGATGCTGATATTAACCTCTCCAGAGCAGAGGTAGAAAAGGTATGTCCATGTGCTAACTTTTCCCGCCTTTTTATGTTCCGACTTAGTTTATACAGAATTTATCTTAGTTTGATTGTGCAGGAAGCAATAAGCTTATAGACATATTTTTGAATCCATTCCTGGAACCAAGCAGTACTGACCAATGAGAGTAAAGTTTCATGCTCAAGGAAACACAACGACTGGCCCCTGACAGGGTTTGAACTCATGAGGCTAGCAATCATTAGATTACAAATTAACATGTTATCCATGTGGCCATGCCTCCAACTTAAAAGAAGCATACTGCGATAAGAGTGTTGTGTCAGTACATACATACATCCCTGCCATCCTTGTCCAATCCAATCAATTTCTTAAGAAGAAATAAGCTGTGGTTTTCTGTATTTTTGTTTTCCCATGGCTAGTAGAGGATTCATATTGATTTTGAGGTCATAAGGTCAAAGGTCAGGGCATAAGGTCAAAGGTCAGGGTCATAGTGACATATAAAATCCTTTTCCAATCAATGAGTGGAGAAGTAATACATAATATATGATATTTAAATGGACCCTCTTGTCAGTTTTGTTGGTTTTTGAAGAAGAAAAAGAAAGAAAAAAGAATATTTACCATATGTGTAAAGATAACATTTACTGTATTTCTATACAATGTTCATATATTTGACTCATTTTTTAACAGACTAGACATTTATCAAATAAACGTTCATCAGAAGCAGAAGACAGTAAAAACGAGTATGCCTCACAACTACAGACAACCAACAACTTTCAAAGAGAGTATTATAACACAAATATGCCACAAGTTTTCCAGGTAGGTAACAGCCTCTTTTGTCCCATTACCATCTGCACTTTATAAAATTGTGAATCATTTTTGCGTCAGCAGCATGTGTCGATGATTGCGGAGTAGTCGAGGAATCTGACTCTGAATTGTTTGTCTCTCTCAATTGCTATCCAGGTAGCTTACGGAACATCAGTGGTTCTACTCAGGTGCCCGTTCATGCCTGAAATAATGCACAGAATTGGCACCTGAGGTCTTTCTCCACCAGTAAAGCAGGACCGTCGCCATATGACCTATATACTGTGCTAGTGTGACGTAAATCCAATCAAACAAACAAACTCACTTTCTATGGATTCGATCCCTATTAAGGACATTTAATTCTTTCCGTCTGGAAGAGGTACTGTCTTTCAAATTTAATGTTTCATTCTTCCAAGAAATATTGGACCTTTAATCGTTAAGAATGTCATCTTTTGCTACCAGATAGTGTGAATTGAGACTTTATGATGCATTCAAATATAGGAGTTGGTTATAAACAGGTACACACCTACCAGAGTGGGTAAATATCCAGCTGAGTTTGGACATACTGTACCATGAAAGCTTAGGCAAATAATGAAGCAAATTTTAAAACAAATTTGTTATGGTATCTTATTTTCCAGCAACTACAAGACCTAGATGAGCGGCGAATAAATAAAATAAAGTCTGTGATAGAAACGAGTGCCAGCATAGAATCAAGTGTTCTTCCTATTATCAAAACTTGTATAGACGGCATGAATAAAGCATCGGAATCTATAAATGTACAAGAGGTATGGACAACATTTTTGTCATTTACATTACTTAACTACACAGGTTGCAGTTCATTAGTTTTAAATTTGGACTTATTATATTCATTATATTGTAACACTATTTTAATAAATTCTTTCTTGGAAAGTTTCAATTTTGAAATTATCAGTAAGGCAAGTCATTCTGTAAATCAACCAGAGGTTTTTTTTTGAATGAAGACGTTTTTATGCCACCGCAGCATCTGCGATGCGGTGGCATATAGCGATTCACCTGTGTGTATGTATGTGTGTGTGTTTGTTTGTTTGTTTGTGTGTGTGTGTGTGTGTGTTATATAGATTATATAGTGAACTTAAAAAATCTTCTTGTGAAAAACCACTAGTCCAATTTCAACCAAACTTGGCAGGATTGATCCTTGGGTGAAGGGCTTCCAAAGTTGTTCAAAGAATTTCATTCCATGCAGAAATCTTGTTGCCATGGCAACCAAAAGGAATTATAAGAATAAATTAAAAAAATCTTCTTGTAAAGATCCAAAAGGCCTAGAGCTTAGATATTTTGCATAAGGCATTGTCTGGTAGACCTCTACCAAGATTGTTCAAATTATAGCCCTGGGGTCAAAATAGGCCCTGCCCCGAGGGTCATTGATTTTCACTATATATACATATAGTAAAAACATAAAATACCTTCCTGTAAAGACCCTAAAGGCCTAGAGCTTAGATATTTTGCATAAGGCATTGTCTGGTAGAAATCTACCAAGATTGTTCAAATTATAGCCCTGGGGTCAAAATCGGCCTTGTCCCGGGTGTCATTGATTTTCACTATATGTACATATAGTAAAAACTTAAAATCCCTCTTGTAAAGACCAAAACGGCCTAGAACTTAGATATTTTGCATAAGGCATTGTCTGGTAGACCTGTACCCAAATTGTTCAAATTATAGCCCTGGGGTCAAAATCGGCCCCGCCCCGGGGGTCATTGGTTTTCCTTATATGTATATAGTAAAAACTTTAAAAAAAAATTCTTCTAGCAATTGACAAATGCTAGAGGTTAGATATTTTGCATGAAACATTGTGAAGTGAACTTCTAGCAAGATTGTTCAAATAATAGCGCTGGGGTGAAAATTGCCCCCGCCCCGGGGGTCATTAATTTTCAATAATTTTATATACAGAAATATGTAAAAAAATCAAAAAAATCTTATTGTCTGAAGGTACAAGGCCTAGAGCTTTAATATTTGTTAAATGATATCATCTATAGATACTCTACCAAAGTTGTTCAAATTTTGCCTCTAGTGTCAAAATTAGCCTTGCCCCGGGGGCCATAGGTTTTCCTTATATGTATTTTGTAAAAACTTAAAAAAATCATCTTCTCTAAATTTACGAAGGCTAGAGTTAAGATATTTTTCATGAAACAATATGTAGTGAACATCTTGCAAGATTATAGCCCTGGGGTCAAAATTGGCCTGGCCCCACCCCCAGGGGTCATTGATTTTCACTATGTACATATAGTAAAAAATTAAAAAATCTTCTTGTCTGAAGGTACAAGGCTTAGAGCTTTGATATTTGGTATATGATATCATCTATAGGTCCTCTACTAAAGTTGTTTTAATTATGTCCCTAGTGGTAAAATTGCCCTGCCCCAGAGGCAATAGTTTTCCTTATATGTATAAAGTAAAAACTTGAAAAATCTTCTTCTCTGAATTGACAAAGGCTAGAGGTTAAATATATGGCATGAGACTTTGTGAAGTGAACCTTTACAAAGATTGTTCAAATTATAGCCCTGGGGTCAAAATTGGTCCCGCCCCAGGGGTCATTGATTTTCATTATGTACATATAGTAAAAAAATAAAAAAATATTTTTGTCTGAAGGTACAAGGCATAGAGCTTTGATGTTAGCCTTATAATATCATCTATAGGTGCTCTACCAAAGTTGTTCAAATTTTTCCCCTGGTGTCAAAATTGGCCCTGCCCCGGGGCAGTGATTCTCATTATGTACACATAGTAAAAACAGATAATAAAACAAATGTTTTCTGAATGGGAGAAAGCTACAACTTAGATATTTGACTTGAAATGTTGTTTGGTGGACTGTTTCAAGATTGTTTTGAATTAAATCCTTGGGTCCAAAATTTTGCCTTGCCCAAGGGGACAATTTTGACCATGTGCACAGTTTTAGTTGTAAAATTGAACTTTGATATCAGGTGACCTAGATTTTGATGATGTGACCTATTTTCTTGTCCTTTGATGTACAGCTATGAAATTTGAACCATGTGCACAGATTAGGATGTAAAGTGAACTTTGATTTCAGCTGACCTAGATTTTTACAAAGTGTCTTACTGTGTTGCATTTGATGTAGTCATGAAATTTAGGCTGTGTGAAATATGACCTTCACCACCTAATTCACTAGACTCGAGTGCATTGATATATCCCACTCTGATCTTTTATAAAGTTAACAACAGATTTAACCACTAATCTGATATTAAGAATTAGATAGGTCAGGGATCTATGCGTTATGACAATCTTCAAAATTGTATAGAAACAAAAAAAATCTGTTCCTACACTACTATTTAGTGTTGTATTAATGCGGTGGCATAGCATTTTTCTCGAATGCAATCTTGTTTAGGCTATAATCATTCAGATGAATGTTTTAGATATAGTAAAAATGTACATCCTATTTTCACTGGTGCTGATTAATGACCTTGTTATCATCATAGTTGTATTTAAACCAAGTGCAACACCAAACACATGTTGTTGTTTTTTTTGCCAAGTGTGACAACAAAGATGTGTTAATTTCTTACCAACTATGTCACCTTTTTAAAAAAATTTATAAGCCATTTAGATAAATATCTATATCATAGATAAATATCTCATCAGATATGGTTTAACATTAAAATTGTCTGAAACAGTGCATTATGGCTTTTGCTTCCCTGGCCAAGACTAGTGGATAAGGTTGTTGACTTTAAACCACTAGCTGCTCGCCACTGTGGGTTCAAATACCACCAGGGACTTTGGATTCTTTCATATAAGGAAGCTATTCAGCTAGCTTACAGAATTTCTCTGGTTCTACTTGGGTGCATGTTCGTGCCTGGAATAATGCCGCGACGGCACCTTAGGTCTTCCTCCACCAGTAAAGCAGCAACATCGCCATATGACTTCCACTGTGTTGGTGCGTCTTAAAACCCACCTGAATGAAAAATTTTTTTTTTTAATCCCATACTTTAAATGATAGTTCAAATGTCCATCTCGGAATACTGTATATAATTTTGTTGTCTCATTTTTCTCTTTGCAGGATTGTAAATTAGTGATAGATAAACACAGAACTGGTTTTCCAATTCCGGGAGATATTCCGTTTGAGGATTTATCGACTGGGGGTCAAATGAATAATCATAATGTGATAAAAACTAACAATACCCCTATTAATACAACTAAAGGTGGAACAGTGGGGGGGAAAGGCAAGAAACGCGGAGGGTTATTCGGTCTGTTTAAAAATACAAATGTAAGTATGAAGCTTTCTATTGATAATTTATGGAACATATTGTTTATAATTTATAGAAAATGATTATAATTATCGAGTGTTTCATATATGTTGGTCATGAAAAAAAAAGAAAGAATAACCAGTTGTTTGATATGGTCCAATGCAGTTTAATAATTGGGAAGGCTTTAAACAGAGCTATTGATTTAAGTTATGCTCCCATGTTGTAGGTATAGTACTGTAAAAATTTGTTCCGGATGTGAAGGTTTTGAAAGATAATAACTGTAACAGTGGCTTGAAAGAGTTATGTAATAATGTTTACAGAAAGTGCAAAATTATGCTATAAAGTTACACATTTGATATAAATTGATGTCAATATTTGAACACTGTCATGGTGCTTTTCCTTAACCTTTTTGTTTTATAATTCCGGAGAATAGTGAATAGCATTTTATTGAATGAAAAATGAATTTATTTTTTCAAGTTTTAAACATTTTAATATTTATATAAAGTATTGATGTTTTGTGGAATCATTTAATTGTTAGATATAGTTTAAAGTAAGCAAAAAGTTGAAGACTTTAGAAGAATATGAGTTCTTTGGAAATTTTCTGTTGTAATTGTTGTAATAACTCAATTTTTGGTTTCAAAAAATATGTAGTCATTTAGTTAAGATAAAACATAATATTATCTGATTATGACTTTAAAGTTTATTGGATTTTCGGTACGTATTATTCCAAGGACACGTTGAATCCCCCTCAAGTTTTTGGCATGGTTTTATGTTTTTTGTCCCCCCTATTTTCCTGCTTTCAACGAGAATTTTTCACTCGTTAAGCTGACAGTTATTTGCTAAATCGTGTAATCTGAAAGCGCCCTGTTTTTAACATATAATAGTAATTATAATGAGGATATAATGTAACACAGATATTGTGTGACTGAATTATCCCAGCACTTCACTGAGTTATGATTTTATTTTGTGTTGACAATAAAAAAAAAACATACACTTTTTTTTGCACAAAAAATATATACAATATTAATTTGCACTGTTTTAGTTTTTATATTATTATCTTAAAAGTGTATCATAGGGCTCTATGATAAAATATTTTTAGCATTGTTTGTGTACCCAACAAGCTTTGCTTTTGTGATTTCAATGTTTGCTTAACATTCACATGACTGTGATCCGATTTCTAGGTAATGTTTGTATCTTTTTCATAGATATTTCAATAAACACAATAACCAGTCAGTGTGATTCACTGCCATTGGTTAATTTTAAATTCAAAAATATAAATTCAGCCAATGAAAACCAGTCTATTTAATTGACTTGTTTTGAAAACCATTTATTTTGGGAAATAGAGTGTGGTGTGCATTGCATTTGAAAAGGGCAACATTTAGAAATGACCAAAATGGTTTAAATTGTTAGCAAGTGAAGAAATAAAGTGAATAGAGCTAGGCACTTTCTTTCTGAAATAGATTTCATATAATGTGTTGAAATAGGCGATCACCAGTGTAGAGCCAGGCCAGCCTGTATATTCCTGCAGTTTAACCAGACTGCCGCCAGTATACCAGAAACTGGTTAGACTGACAAAATGACAGTCTGGCCTGGCTCTAGACTGATTTAAAAGATTAATCACGTTACATTCAAGTAGGTTAAGAGGTTTATCATTTTGACATCATTTTTGGACTTTGTTTTTTAACCTGTGCTTTAAAAGAGTCAGGCTTCGCGAAAGTTGCCGGACCGTCGGACATGTCCGGCAAAAATCAGGCCGGTCCGATTTTTTTTCCGGAGTTCCGGACCTTATGTCCGGTACGAATACCGGGATATATCCAAGACCGATCAAGACCGAGTTTTCTCCCTTGATTAAAAAAATGTAAAACGAGTTTTGATTCGCCGTTTCATTATAAGTGTCCAATACATACGACTGTCAATAACCAAAATGACGGTGTTACTACATTATTACGCTGGCGCTACGCCCGGCAAAAATCGTAAACTATCCAATGAAGAAAAAAAAGCGAAACAAAAGGAATACGAGTCCAGGCGCCCGCCGAGAAAATTTGTGGGTACCCGGTAAATGGAAAAATGGCTGCTTTGATCATGAATGTTTTGATTTCCAGACAGAGTCCATCCACAGGTGCTTGAAACAAACTTTTTAAAGTTTTATATGGGCTATATACTATATATCTTTATATACATATATAGACTGGTTATGTAAAATATTTGATTATGTGACTAGCGCCTGTGAGTCCATCAATCTGGATAAACTAATTTTTTATTTAAAGGAATAAAATTGTGTTGCAAACCTTTAAAAGTTGTTATGTCTTTAAAAAAAACACCAAGGTATTACCATATACATATATTTGGGGGAAAAAATTCGGTCAGACAAAAGTTCTTTCGGTCAGACAAGAATTGAAAGTTTGTCTGACCGAATGTCAGGCAAATTTTTCAGCAGTTTCGCTAAGCCTGAGAGTGATAATGTGTATCAAAAGTTGTCATCAATGCTCAGATAGGGATTTTTAAATTATTATCTACTGACATAATGAATGACCTATTTGGTTTTAATCTTATTAAAGTATTTGTAGAGATAAATATTATCTGTTACATATAGGTTATATCTAATCATATTTTTGCTTTTATTATCATATTTCAAAGTTGTTGTAGTCATGTGTACTTTTTAATCACTTTTACTACGTTATCTATAAACAGCATCAAAAAAGAAACTTTGAATAAAATGAAAATAATCATGCAAAATAGAATCCCCTCTAGCTAAGACAAAGTATCAGTCCAAAGGGGGGAATTTTCATTCTTCATATGTATAAGAATGTATGTATTATTTTAAAGAACAAATGGGCTGTGTATACTGCTTTTATTTCATTATTTCAACGTATAAAAATATTGATAATAAAAATGTTGAATAACATATTAGTTAAGATTGCTAATTTGTAGGAAATTATGTTTAGTCACTGGAAAGATTTCACTTTCAGTTTTATGCTAGAGCTACTGCCTGGGCATATTATCATTTTCATTTTTTGAAAACATAAAAGTTTTTAGTTTGTTTTGGTTTTGTTTAATTCATGGTGGAAGATTATGTATGACATTCCAAATGCTTATTCAAGATTATTGACCTATATATTTGGGTAATTTGCTTTTATGATAGCTATAATGAAAAGTTTTATCATTCTTTGTGAGCTATTTCTTAATATTTTGGCAATATATTGAAAGAATCTTTCCTTTAATTAGGTAAAATTCAATAAAGGGAGTAGCAACAACAGCAGAGTTACAAAAATTTTAAAGAACTTTTGACCCCATTTTTGAAAAAGATATATAAAAAATAGTCATTAATAGTTATTTGCAACAGGCCGGTTTTCTGAACCCTTTGAGAGAGAAAATCTCTGGCAGTAGAGCTTTAAAATGTAATTATATATATTATAAAGGTCAGGAATTATGTATTTATTGGTTATATATAGATTAATAGATTTTACATAATGTATAATATATTGGCTTTTACTTTTACTTTAGATTGGCTATAAAGTGGTTCTTGTATATTTGATTTAAATTCAGGCGTTCAGCGCGCGATCATCATTGTTATAAAATGGCATCATGTCATAATGTAATCTTGAATGCACACAATATCATTTTGAAATAAATAATTTCTGTGGTTATTGAATATTAAAGTGACATTATACTTATTTTTAGCTCGACTATTCGATAAGAATAAGTAGAGCTATTGTAGTACCCCGAGCGTCGGCGTCGGCGTCAGCGTAACCACTTATGTTAAAGTTTTTGTAATAGTTCAAATATTTTCAAAGTCCATTGACATATGGCTTTGAAACTTTGCACACTTCAGAGCAACAGATAAGCTTTAAAAGTGAATTGGGTATTACTCCATCATTTCCTTTGGAATTGGGTATTGGCTCCATTTAATTGGGTATTCCAAAACTCGATACCCTATGATTTCAAGATCAATTGGGTATTCAATTATAAAGATATGAATTTAATGGTTTCAATAGCAATAAAATTTAAACGGTTTTAAAAAGAAAATAGGATTAACAATTTACTAGAACTTTTCACAATTGTTTTATTTTTATATAAAATGCTCATGTTATATTTCATAATATTTTTAACAAATTCGTTTTCTGACTGATTTTTGATTATTTATGACTGTTTTGTTTCAAATCATTTTCCCTTTTGCACGACGCCATATTGCTTTCAAAGCGTCTATTGATACAGCTGGGACCTACTTATTGACGGTCTCGGCAAAATCAACGGTCTCTGCCGGTCTTTAAGGACCGTCGACCTGAGTAGACAAATCGAGGGTCTCATGCTTTATTGACGTGGCTTAGTCGGTCATTGGAGACCGGGGACCGTCGAAGACCGGAGACCGTTGATTAGTTAGCATTGATTCGGAAATATTCGGATAGCATGCATATCGATATAATTTGTCCAAAACAACGAGCGTACGACAGATAAATTTTGCGATGATGAAAATGACAATACGCACGGGTTTTTAAGACAATTGCGTATTTTATTTTTTTTAATGGGTTTTGATACGCATTCTTAAAAAATCAATTGCGTATTTTCTAAAATTAATTGCATAAATACGCAAATACGCACCTTATCTGTTGCTCTGCACTTGTTCACCATCATGACCCCAACCTGTAGACAGGAGGAGGTAACTCTATCAAGCATTTTGACAGAATTATGCCCCTTTTTGGACTTAGAATTTACGTTAAAGTTTTTGTAATAGTTCAAATATTTTCAAAGTCCATTGACATATGGCTTTGAAACTTTGCACACTTGTTCACCATCATGACCCCAACCTGTAGACAGGAGGAGGTAGCTCTATCAAGCATTTTGACAGAACTATGCCCCTTTTTGGACTTAGAATTTACGTTAAAGTTTTTGTAATAGTTCAAATATTTTCAAAGTCCATTGACATATGGCTTTGAAACTTTGCACACTTGTTCACCATCATGACCCCAACCTGTAGACAGGAGGAGGTAACTCTATCAAGCATTTTGACAGAATTACAGTA